TGGGGGATTTGGCGCGGATTGGGTGTGGGGCGCCGTAGCGCGATCGCTGAGTGGTGGGTCGTTGTCGGTGAAGTCTGTCGCAGAGTTGATGATCACTTCCTTGATTTAGTGGCAGAGATCCGCAGGGAGTTCAGGGAGGAGGTACAGTTGCAGACGTGCTGTTGGATGGCGAGTTCTCGGGGGTGGTCTTCGCTTTGGCGCTCGGTGGGCATCTGTTTTTTTTTTCCGATTCTTTGTACTTCTCGTACCCAATTCATTGCAAACGCCTTTTCCAGATAAGACAGATACTGGTAGTCGTGAGGTGGTGACTACAGGTTTGTGGTCGGATCCCAAGTCCACTGCGTTTGAGGCTTCCGCATTCTTGCAATATATTGGAATAAAGGTCGTTTGACCAGTACGTAATCCAACTGTCTGTGTGTGTCGTTGTTGATGTATGTGATCTGCTTGTTCGGGCGCTTCCGGAAGAACGTGTTCACTAGCACGAAGTTTTCGGTTGCTCGGGGGCGGCAAAGAGGGGGGTGATGACTAGGGTGGGTGGACATCATGGCGTGGGCCATGACATTTCCCCTGATTTCATGGCGCCTCTTCTTATTTCCTTGCGTCCCTGGCACCCCCCCCTGGGCCGCGCACATGCCGCCGGCCATGATTTGCACCCCCCCTCTTGGACGCCCCCCTCTTGGCCGCCACCGAATGAGGTTTTCGGTTGCTGCCCAATGTCGGAGCCATGTGCCCCTCGAGTTCTCGTCGCCATAGCCGTGCGGCCCTGTCGTCCGACATGTCGCATCCCACGCGAGGTCGTCGACTTCGGCGTCGGGATCGTTCGTCGCTCCGTCCTCCTCTATCGTTTTCGTCTGTCCCACCTGGGCGTTGAAGTCACCTGCTAATTCCCCAGTCTGAGCTTGCCTCTGTAGGGGCCCTAGCGGATTCACATGGTCAGGTGAGGTGGGCCGCCGATTTCGGTGGCCGGCCTGGGTGCCCGGTAGCCCTATAGCCCTATAGCCCTATAGCCCTATAGCCCTGTAGCCCTATAGCCTTATAGCCCCATAGCCCTGTAGCCCTATAGCCCCATAGCCCTATAGCCCTAAAACATCGGATTGGGTTTTTCTCCGGTATCATAAAATGTGTTGTTTGGTGTCTTGGCATTTCTTGTGAATCTCGTGAATGGCGTCGTACTTTTTCCTGTATGTGTAAGTCCCATAACCAGGGTGGGGGAAGTAAGCGGCAACAAACAAGAATCTCAATGGCCCACGTTGTATTGAGAGCGTTTCCAAACGTGGTAAAATAGGTTTGAGGTTACGTATGAATTTGTTTGATTGCTTATTTACCAATCTCGCCACTCCTTGACTTCGCTTTGTACTTCCATCCCCGGCAAACGTGTGGTCTTGGCTCGTGGTCCATAGCTCCCTCGATGGTGCGCCACGTTTCGTTAATGAGGATGACGTCCCGTTGGCTGTCTTCGAGCTCCTTTGTGAGCTCCTCTACGCGGTCATCTGTTGTCAGAGATCGGGCGTTTTTTAAGATGACTGTCAGCGGTAGGTGGTCGGAAACGTGCTGAGAGTGCTGTCCGGGTGACGGAGTCAGCGAGGCAGAGTGGGACTGGGTAGCCGGAGCCGTCGTGACAAAGTTTGGCCTCTGCGTCGTAGTCGGGTATGCCTGTCTCACACAGTGACCTCGGAGTCGGTGCAACGCCACGTGTTGTGGTTACAGCCCGTGGTCGTGCCGATCCGTGCCGAAAGCTGGAGGTGGATGGTGGTGGATGCTGGGAGTCGGAATCTGATGGCTGGAGTTCGTTGGTTGTAGTTGCAAGTCGGTGGGCGAGGGTCGAAGGCAGGAGGTGGAGGGTGGTGGATGCTGAGAGTCGGGGTCTGGCGTTAGGAGGTCGACTGGATGATGTTGCAAGTTGGTGGGTGGAGATCGAGGGCTGGAGGCGAGTGGAGGTGGATGCGGGGAGTCGAACGCTGGTGGTTGGGGGTCGATTGATTGAGGTTGCCTTTCTGTGGGTGGAGGTGGAACATTGGCAGTCGTAGGTGGGGCCGCTCGCTGTAGGTCGAACTCGATCGCTATGAGGTGGATGCGGAGACGAGGGAGCTGGATTCTGTACTGAATCGTGCTGTGCGTCGGAACCGGTCAGCCTGCAGTCGGATGCCGCGCGCTGCTGTCGTAAGATGCACATGGGAACGTCGCTGTGGACGAACTCCTCCCACTTCCCCTCCTCCTCTCTTTAGTGTCGAAACTTTGCAAGCTACTCTTCTGCGATTCTCCACTGGGACCTCGCCATCGCGGCGCGTTTTATGTCTCCGTCGCGCAGTAGGCGGGCCCAGATGATACGGATCCGGGATATTTCCGTATCAGTCAGAATCTCCTTTCTTCCCCTTGCCCTCTTTTCCTCCCTTTCGCCCCCCGCCTCCTACCTCCCTCTTCTTGCCCGCGTGAGCGCCGGATTTCCTTTTGCAGCCCCCGTGGCTCGCTGGGGTCCCGCTCGGGAGGGCCCGCGCGAGCCCGCAGGGCGTGCGTGAGGTAATGTTTACGGTTTCTTGGGGGCGATTCCACGGGAGCGCCCGCCACCCAGACTGAGCACAAGCACTGCTCAGGCCTGAGTGTTGTGTTTGTCGCCAGTGTGGGCACCGTTCATTCTCTCCCCACGGGTTGCGGTCTGATCTCCTCCCTTGCTCTAACGTGTCGCCTGCGAACAGAAATTTTGGACGATGTTGTGAGCTCGTCGTCGTACTCCTCTTCCTCCTTCCCATTCCCTCAAACCCCGAGGCTGAACATTACGATTGTCGTCGCTGCTGGGGCCATTCCGGCCGCAGCTGGAGTCCTTGAAGTCGGCACTGGGCGTTTCGAAGTGGGAGCCCGAGTCGGAGGATGGAAGCTGGCGTCGGACAGCATCGCAAATATTGCGCTCGGATCTGCAGTGGTCTGGTCCATGTCCGTAACCGGTGAAGCATGTTCAATTCGAAAAACAAGATGAGATTTTGAGACTGTCCTGGAAGCGGTGAAAAAGAAGAGGCTGGAGGCTGAATCCAGAGAAGGGTCGGAGAGGGCGTGGGGTCAGGTCGGATGCAGAGCCAGAGTCGGAGTGGTTGAGTACGGGTCAGAAGGAAAAACATGTGGATACTGAATTGGTACAGGTCGGTGGCAGTTGCCCCGCGAGCGAATGCTCCAGGCCTGTCCGTAGGTGGTGAAACATGGCCCTCTCGAAGAATAGGCTGACCTTGATGAAGCTGTTTCTGGTATCGGTCTATGCGCGCAGTTCCCTGTCGATACTGCGGGAGGCGAGAAGCCTGGAGAACGAGACGCTCACACTCTGAGCCCGCTATTCTACAGATCACTGTCGGTTTCGGGGATTGGGTTGATTTTGGCGCGGCAAATGTTTGATGAAGCGCTCACCTCGTTCTCCATTGACTTGGTCACAGTAGTCGTGTGCCACTGTCCCATGCGAATCGTACCACTCAATCTTCTTGCCGTTTAGAGTAACCATCCGCGTTTGCCACAAACGTTTCACTTTGTCGCTTTGTGCTTTCATCCGAGCCTTCATTTTTTTGTAATCACCAATCGTTTATCATCCATTTGCTCCTCCTTTGTCTGGTCATTCTTGAAAAATACTCCCTCCAGCCATGGTGCCTCCCCAATCTCCTACACCCTTTCGAACAACTTGACCTTATATGGGATAGTGGGGAAACTAATCGTGCCCATTTTCGTGGAGGCTGTGAGGGCATCGACGTGCAAGCGCCGCTGGTGTCCCCTCCGATCCGCACTGAGAACCCCCTAACTTTTCGATCAAATCCTCTGACGGTGAGGCTTCTTTGAATCCTAATGGTACCACCTGATTGGTCCTGTCGTCATTGATCTTCGTGTTCTGGTACTGTCCTTTCATCGAGTCCTTCATGTCCTGAACTTTGCTTTCGACGATCTGCTCGATTTCGTCCTGGGTGAGGTGTATCTCCTGGAGGTCGTTGCGGGTGGCTGCGACCTCCGCCTTCATTTCTTCATCCATCTTCTTCTGGACCTCTTCTGCTGCCCTCCTTGCGTCCTGTGCCTCGGTCCTCGCCTAGTCGATCCTACCTGTGACGCTAGCTATGTCGGTCGTGATGCCTACGATCTGAAGGGACTGGCGGGCGTCGAAGTCCTGAAACCACTCTGGAGGGGTAGTTGCGACCACGGTCTCTTCCATCGATCCCTTTGCCTCCCCTGCATGAATGTCCTCTTCATCCTTTTTCTTCTTTTGTTTATCTGGTGTCGATCTGGTATGGCCGCTGGCGCGCTTACCTTTGTCTTTGTCCGCCATGCTGGCCCACAGTGGTGCTAAGAGCTCATGGGAGATTTTGGATGGGGTATCGGGAGTGTTTGGAGAGTGTGATGAAGTTGAGCACTGAGGGTGAGCATTTGAGGGCCTTGAGCCTGGAACCAAATGGCAACGGAGGAAGGGGACAGGAGCAGAGCAGGTGGTGGTGGTGGTGAAGGAGGAGGAAGAGGGGGAGGAGGGAAGTTAGTGGGCCAATTCCCCTCCCCTCGACTTCCCTCGTCCCTGGCCCTCCTCTCGATGCCTCCTCGTCCCTACGGGTAGCGTGGAGAGGGAGGAGGGGGGCGAGGGTCAGAAACTGTGGGCGACGGAAGGGGATGTGGGAGGAGGGGGGGGGAGTTGAGGGAGGAAGGGGAAGAGGTGGAGGAGGAAATGGAGGACAGGAGGCAGAGCGAGACATGATTGAGGTGAAGGCACCCACTACCAAGACCGCTGCGAGACGGAGAGTAAGAGGAGAGCGGATGTTTGGTACGAGTTGGTACGGTTTGGCGGCGACGGGGGCTTTCGACGAGTCGATCGCTTCAATTATGCTTGCCGACGTCTGCGCGATAATCATCGATCGACTCGAGTACACACGCGCACACCCGCAGATGCGATCCCCCTCGATCGAGGACGCTCGCGATTCGACCGATCTGCGATGTAAAGGCAGCCTGTGGACAGCCACGCCAGAGCCGCATCCCAAAAAGACGGCGCCCAGACCAAGCACTGCATCCAGACCCTCAGTGGCCACACCAACAACGTCTCGGCGACAGGGAGGCAAAGACCGACTGGCACCACCTCAGTCCTCCGCGTGCTCTTTTCTTGGCACCAGGTCTCGGTGGGTGTCGGCTCCTGGCCAGGGGCCACGTCCACAACGACGTCTGGCCCTTAGAGTGAGCCTCCCGCCGAGGCCCACATCCGCCCACGCCTCCGACGCCGTGGCTTTTTCGGCCGCGACGTGTGCCCGCGAGCCTCAACCCCTTACCCCGGACGAGGGGGAGATGTTGTGAGGGGCCTGTCTTCCACCACCACCATGAGTTGGAGCGGGAGGGGGTCCTCCTCCTCCACCTCCTCCTCCTCCTTCTCTTCGTCCTCCTCCTCCTCCTCCTTCTCTTCGTCCTCCTCCTCCTCCTCCTCCTCCTCCTCCTCCTCCGTCCCCCCCCATGTTGGGGGGGCAATGGGCAGCGCCAGGGAGGGATAGGCTCAGAGGGGGAACGCCTCGGCCCCCGCCCGCCCGCCCCTCGCCGCTCCTCCTCCTCCTCCTCCGCCTCCTCCTCCGCCGCCTCCTCCTCCTCCTCCTCCTCCTCCTCCCTCCTCCTCCCCCTCTTGATTCGCCGTCGGGGTCCTATCGCCGATCAATCGGCGATTTTGCCAGGGGGGGGGGGAGGAAGGAGCACTGTCGACGGAGATTCCACAAGATTTTTCGGCGTCTCTGGGCCTTCTCGTCGCCACGGCGGGATCCGCCTCGGGCCCTGTTCGCGCCGTGAGGACTTCGCTGGCACTTGTCGGCCTGCGGAGACCCTTGCTGGGCTCCGATGACGTCAAACAATGAGTCGGGATGACCAGCCTGTCCCCGGGAGGGGTCCTTACCTCTGGGAGTCCATCCGCATTGTGAACAAATCGCGATGTCGGGGGTCTGGGGACGAGTCGTATCGTGGCGGTCCGGGGCCGAGACGTGACTTCCAGACGCCGGACATTCTGTGATCCTGTGTGTGTGTGTTAGCCCACTGCGCGTCTGCCCCGTTCAGCTGCACCGACAGTGCGGAGCCTGTGTCGGCCCTCCTTGCACTGTCTGCATCGTGTCGAGGGGCTTCGGTGGACAAGCGCACGTTGGCGCTGACACACGTTTTGAGGACCACCGAGAGTTGGCGAACCAACCTTCGGCCCTGTGGTTCGCGTCGCCAGAGTTTTGGGGATTCGGGACGGCAAGTTCGCGCCACGCTGACACGTCGGCGACCCCAGCGCGGGCGCTCAGAGTTGAACACCGCGAGTGGCGCACCATCGGTTGAATATCGAAGGATCTGCGCTGTCCGAATGCCTCGACCGTTCAAGGTTGAGCGGCCCACGCGGTGTCCTCCACCCTCCTCCGCCCGCCTCCGCCCTCTTCCCTCCTTCCTCCCCCCTCCCTCCTTCTCCCTCCTCCCTCCCTCCTTCCTCCTCCTCCCTCCTCCCTCCCTCCTCCTCCCTCCTCCCTCCTCCCCTCCTCCCTGCTCCTCCCTGCTCCTTCCTCCTCCTCCCCCTCAGAGACCAGCGCCGACGTCATCGCGACGCGAACCTGTCGCACTGGTTGGCGGAGAGCTCACCAGGGGATGGCGCGATGGGGGCGGCCTTCTGACAGAGGCGGGGGGGCCCTCAGAAGGCAGGGGCCCCAGAAGGGCCCAGAGGAAGACGGCCTCCCCCCCCGCTTTTTCGAAGGCCGCCCCACTACGCACCCCCCCCCTCACCCGCTGCCAAATCGTCGCGGCATGAACCTGCCGTGCTCAGCAAAAGAAAGCAGCCATCTGATGGGATCGGCGCTGGACCCCCATCCCTGACGCGTAAAGCGCGGCAGGGGCGGCGCTGGAGGCGACGCCAGGGGGCCAGCACCGATCCGAGACATCCCCGCAGAGCTCCGTGCTGCTATCTGGTTCCTCCTAAGGGGGGCCTCTAGAGGGCCCTCGGAGGCCGAGACATTCGAAGGCCGTTCGTCGTTGTTGTTGTTGTTGTTGTTGTTGTTGTTGTTGTTGTTGTTGTTGTTGTCGTTGTTGGATTGTCAGTTCTAAAGAATAAGTTCCCCGATCTTCTTGTCATTATTTAGACCCCTCTGGACCTCCTTCTCTTTCCTCTCCTTCCTTCTCTTCATTCTCATGTCACTCAGACATTCAGATTCAGATCACTCACAACCATGACGGAGTCCATCACAGACCCACTCCGCCGTCGTTTGTTGTTGTTGTGATTGTTGTTGTTGTTGCTGTTGCTGTTGTTGTTGTTGTTGTTGTTGTTGTTGTTGTTGTTGTTGTTGTTGTTGTTGTTGTTGTTGTTGTTGTTGTTGTTGATGATGATGATGATGATGATGTTGTTGTTGTCGTTGTTGTTGTTGTTGTGGTTGTGGTTGTGGTTGTGGTGTGGTTGTGGTTGTGGTTGTGCTTGTGGTTGTGGTTTGTGGTTGTGGTTGTTGTTGTTGTGTGTTGTTGTGGTTGTTGTTGTTGTTGTTGTTGTTGTTGTTGTTGTTGTTGAACATTATTTATTCTAAAGAATAATTATTGTTGGGCCCCCTGGTGCGCGCCCCCCCTGCGCCGCCTAGGCCGCAGCTACATTTTCATCATTTTCGTGAGGAAGCCTCAGAAAAGAGGGTGTGTACAGGATCCGGTTGTTTTGTTGTAATCCGCTTTCCCTTGCAAAAAACAATAGAAAATGACATTTCTTGTTCTAATATAATCAAATTTCAAGAATCCCTTGCAAAAAATAAGGTAAAGTGGACATTCGCGCGCGCAAGACGAAATCCTTCCAAAACCTTAGTGTTCGGAGCGATTTTAACATAAAAACATCAAAAAACCAATGGTTTTTCAACAAAAAATTGTCAAAATCTCATCCCGCGCGCTCTTGCGGATTCGTAGGAAACCCAACACTTTTTAAACATTTCTGTCAAACGGGCTTTTGCGAGCAACTTTTTCGAACTTCTGCGACAACGGTTGCGCACCTGCCAGGGCCATCATCCCTGTCAAATAATACCATGCGGGACACATTCGTTTTTTCTTCGCGCGCGCACGCCGTCGTCGTCGGCCGCGGGGCCCTGAATAGTAGCCACGGTCGTCCGCATGCCACGAAGTGAAGTGTCCGAACGTCATAGGGCGGGAAGCTGGGTGTGGGTGGTGGCGAAGAGTCGTTTGGAAATTTGGTAGAGCTTGAACCGGCCCCCCCACAAAGTGGGGGTATTGCCCGCCTCCTATGAAAACCCTGGCACTGGTGAGAACGGAGTGTCCCCACGTGCTAGTAATTGTTGTTGTTATTGTTGTTGTTGTTGTTGTTGTTGTTATTGTTGTTGTTGTTGGTGTTGAATCTTCATTTCTGAAGAATAATTATTGTTGATCCCCCCACCGGTGCATATTGTTTTTTCAATCAAAGTGTGCCTCTCGACGCTCGCACCCTGTTTTTTATCAGGGAAAGTCTTGAGGCCCCCGGATTACAACAACAACGGCTCCCGCCTGAGACTTCCTTACAATTTGGCCAGGACCCCCGCTCCCGCCCGAGACTCCCTCGCATTTTATTTAGGAGTCGCGCTCTCGCTTGGGGCTTCCTTAGAATAAATTCAGGAATCGCTCTCCCGGCGCTCTGGAGTCACGCTCTCGCTGGAGACTTGCTTGCAATTTGCTGAAGAGGCGTTGAAATTACTTGCAATTTACTCAAGCGCCGCGCTCCCGACACCCAAGCACCCAGGAGTCGCGCTCACGCTTAGGACTCCCTCACAGATTACATAGGAATCGGGATCTCGCTGCCCTTCGTGGGCCCGTTGCAGCCCTTCGTGGCCCCCTCGCTTTGTTTCGTGGCCCCGTTGCAGCCCTTCGTGGCCCCCTCGCTGCCCTTCGTGGCCCCGTTGCAGCCCTTCGTGGCCCCCTCGCTTTGTTTCGTGGCCCCGTTGCAGCCCTTCGTGGCCCCCTCGTTTTGTTTCGTGGCCCCGTTGCAGCCCTTCATGGCCCCCTCGCTGCCCTTCGTGGCCCCGTCGCAGCCCTTCGTGGCCCCGTTGCAGCCCTTCGTGGCCCCCTCGCTGCCCTTCGTGGCCCCAAGTATGTATGCCCTTCGTGGCCCCCGCTCGTTCGCGCCCGTGGTGGCCCCATATGCATGCCCTTCGTGGCCTCGCTGTCGCCCTTCGTGGCCCCCAAGCTGTCCTTCGTGGCTCCGTTGCTGCCCTCAGTGGCCCCGTCCTTGCTCTCCGCGGCCCAACATACGTATGCCCTTCGTGGCCCCCGCTCGTTCGCGCCCGTTGTGGCCCCATGTGACATGCCCTTCGTGGCCCCGCTGTCGCCGTTTGTGGCCCCCTCACTGTCCTACGTTGCCCAGTTGCTACCCTCAGTGGCCCCATCGTTGCCTTCTGTGGCCCCCGCATTATCTGCCCTCCGTGGCCCCCGCTCGTTCGCGCCCGTTGTGGCCCCATACGCACTCCCTTCGTGTCCCCAATATCGCCCTTCGTGGCCTACTTCGTGTCCTTCGTGGCCCTGCTGTCGTTGTCTCTCGCTCTCGCTTTCGCTCGTCGTCGTCGTCGCCGTCGTCGTCGTCGCCGTCGTCGTCGACGTCGTCGTCGTCGTCGTCGTCGTGGTCGGTCCCCTGTCCGTCCCTCTTGGGGTCGGGTCGACGGTCCGCGGCCGCCCCGCCGATCAGCGCTGCCGCTGGCCAGGCCGACGGTCCGCGGCCGCCCCGCCGCTTGCCGAGGCCCAGCCTGCAGGACAGAAAGGTATACCCCCCAAAAGGGGTTCGATCGAAGACGACGAGGGCGGGTACCGAGGGTTTGGGAAATAGGCGTTATTGGACACTCGCGCAGATATGGGCGAACATAATTCAACTGATTGTTGTTGTTGTTGTTGTTGTTGTTGTTGTTGTTGTTGTTGTTGTTGTTGTTGTTGTTGTTGTTGTTGTTGTTGTTGTTGTTGTTGTTGTTGAACATTATTAATTCTAAAGAATAATTATTGTTGGGCCCCCTGGTGCACGCCCCCCCCCCGCGCCTAGGCCGCAGCCACATTTTCATCATTTTCGTGAGGAAGCCTCAGGTAAAACGATGTGATCCAGATCCGGTTGTT